TTGGCAACACCACAGAAGAAACTAGTCACTTCAAACCCCCACAGTGTTTTAAGAAACACATGAAAACAGATTCATGATTCAAAGCAAAGATAGAAATTAATCAGGATCCTGTGCAGTTGGAAAAAAAATACTTGAGGGTTCCCATTTTAAAACCAAACAATCAACAAAGGATAATAAAAACACATATTGCCTGGATTTCCAAATAGCTTCCTATTATAATGGAATAACAGTTTGTGCTAAAACAGTGCTGCATGTGAGAGTTTGTGTTATAACCTTACTACTCAAATAAAGAGTCATCAGAGTGGTATAGGTTCACATTAGAAACATTTGCACTCTAAACAAAGACTGCTGGGTCAATGAATTCTTATAAATGTAACTACCAATGATTAATACTGATCCAGATTGAACTTTTTTTTCCAACCTAAAAATGCAGTTTTATGGATATCTACAGAAACAAACATTAAATGTGTTCTTAAGTGCTGGCTAAAAACAGCTGAGCCAGTAAATGGGACTCCACATCCTAAGCATAAAAACTGCATTACATGTAGATGTACATAAATAACACTGTTGAATGAGGAAAGGCAAAAGGGTCATTAAAATCAATGGTTTTCTTAATGCTGATGGTGTGCTACACATTTCATGGCAAAACCTTTGACGTGTGTGTCACAGATTGATAAAACAAACAGATGACGGTGGGCACATACACTCAACACCCCTGAGGCTTTATTAATTATTGTGCTTGGTTTCCTACAAAGTTCAAAATTGACATTGGTTCACAAAAAATATACACCGTTGGTTCCAGGCAGCAAATAACTGTGACCTTTTTTTTTACAACTATCATGGTCCCAAGACAGTGGGAAATCCCACTGGCTCTCAGTGCAATAGTAGTAACAACCTTTTCACTAATTGCTTTGGCACCACGAGAGTCACTTTCTGCAACCACACTATTTTGCAGTTTCATCAGTAAAGCATATCATTTCTTGTCATTTTTGACTATTTTGATTTGTTCTACAAGCTGAATCTTCAATAAATTCAGAAAATGTACACTAACCTGAAATTATAAATTTACAGAAAGTTTACAAAGGTGCGGTTTGTTTAACCAAAGGAATTACTGCACAGGTTATATCTATAAACAAATCTTTCCACACCAGGAATTCAGTGTATCAAAATAACAATATCAGCAATAGACAACATTAAACAAGATAGTTTGCAAGACATTTAAATGGAGGCTGCAGTGACAATGTCAGCACATATGAGCAGAACATTTTCCAAACAACATCTAGTTTGCTTACACAAGTAACGGACAGATCTATAGAAACAAACCATCTGTCACATGTGAACATGATTTGGTCAACAAAGATTTCTGCAGTTTAGATTTGGCCATATTTTCATGAATGATAGGGTCATATACAACATGTGGAATAACACGTGAATCAGCAAGAGCTGGTCCATCAGTACTACTTCATTAGCAGCAGGACCAGGCTTAGGCTTGTTATTTTCCTTTTAGCACTCAAAGATACTGCTACACAGTGAGTTCAGAGAACCAGACACTCCACCAAACACATTCTTTAAAGATTTTGTTTGGAGGTTGTTGTTTTTTTTTACACAAGGTCTGGGTTCTTAAAGATATGACTATTTGTATGAAATCATGGGAAAGGGTGAAATTTAGCTCTATGTGTGACTTCTAGCTTTCTTGGTTTCAGGTTACACATGCCTGACATAAGTGTTCAAAAATTAATTCAGTTTCTAATCCATAACAAATGGTCTTCGCTGTAAAGTTGTCCCTAGAGCTGACAAGATCTAGTTTCATTCAGGCTGAAACTAACATAAATAATTCCGGTTATTCTCAGAACCAGGCCCAAGCTACCATTCAGTCTTTTTCTTGTCAGAAAAGTATATTACATTTTATTGAAAATACGAGGATCATATATCTGATTTTCAGGATTGAGGCTTCTACAATTATAATTCACTCACAGGTACTTTCCGGCCCCAGGTCTAACTTTCATTTCCTTGTTAATTCTCAAGTTAGGAGGTTTGGGTTAGCAACTGATTCATTCACTGAGTTAAAAGAGCATCAACACGATACTCCAGTGTGGTTTCGACCTCAGAACAGCATTAAGACAGCTCAAATCCATGCAACAAATGTCTTGCATTTAGACACAGCTTTGTGTCTCTTTTTCCTCTGGTTTCAGTTCAGTCTTTAATAATATGCACAGAGGCATGTGCATGCAACATTTTAAACATCAGTGTACTGTATCATACCATAATGATACAGTATTTAATTGCATTAACCTTTACAAATGAGACATATACAGTAAGTAAAGCACCTGTCAGGTGTATTGTTCTCACTCAAAGTAAAACCACATTTCCCAAAAGACCTATTACATTCTGTTGTAAAATAGATGTTACACTGTCTCCTTAGAATCATTCCTTGTCTGTTTCTCTGTCTTCATTGCTTCACTGCAAAATATAAATGTGTTAGAAGGGACTTTTTAATCAGCATGTTTTTTTTATCTGCATCCGGCCAAATTGTATTTATTCAAATGTGATCTGGGCCACTTCCATATGTGGTCCTGGAACAAATTCGTATTTGATATGTGACCATGCAACCACTGTCACTCAGATTGGAATTCAAGTGTTTTTTTTTTTAAGGTCTCCCTCCTCTGTGCTTGTGCATATTGCCTGTCATCATCATTCAGTCTTGGCTTCTTACAGACCTGTAAAAGTTGGAGGATTGGTAATGTTTCTGTAGTGTTCAGGGATCCAGTGCTGAAAGGATCATACAAAAAAAAATGGATCTGTGAATGTGCAGGAAAATACCAGCCTCAAAACCAATCCAAGTAGAAATTCCTCCTGATACATATTTGTTTAAAAGCATTGCATTTTCTGTGAAGTTATGATGAGTGCCGGTGGGCAAAAGACAAACAGGTCAGTAGAAGAAGTGAGCTGATTGGAGTATTAGTTGAAGCAGCAGGGAACTTCCAGGAGGAGTCAGCAGTTGTCTTATAGTATACTGTATATATAAAGGAAATACAGAGGGCTTAGTCAATGAACAGCCTACAGACAGGATGTCAGTAAGGATGCTAGTCAGTGTGTAAAATAATGACACCTAGTGTGGGTATGGTGTATACTTTACCACGCAAGAAATTAAACAATTTGTTCATATTTTTGAGGATTAACTTTACAGTTTTTTGCACCATGGTAAGGAAGAATGAAAGCATGTAGATGGTGAAAGGAATAAAGCCTAGGAAGCAGAGTATAAAAGGTTAAGGGCAGTGTTCTGGAAACTATAATTAAATCTGTGAGGTCATGAAACACTTGGGCATAGTATGGTATTAGAAGAAAGGGAGGGTGGCACAGTAGCACGATTGCCTCTCACCAAGAAGACCCTGGGTCCGAGCCTTGGCTGGAACCAGCATCCTTCTGTGTGGAGTTTGCATGTTCTCCCTGTGTGAGTTTTCTCCAGGTGCTCCGGCTTCCTTCCACAGTCCAAAGACATACAGCTTAGGTTGATTGGCAACTCTAGATTGTTCATAGGTATGAATGCCAGTGTGTGTGGTTGTTTATCTATGTGTTCGCTCTATGATAGTCTGGGTGTACCATGCCTCTCGCCCACTGTCAGCTGTTGGCCACTGTTGGATCCAGGTCCCCATGACCCTATTCAGGGATAAGCAGTATAGAAAATGGATGGTTTGAAGAAAGGGATATCATTACCACAACACTGAGGAAAAATAACATACTGTACAGTATGTAAAGAAAATCATTCATATCAAGGTTGAGTAAATACTAAGGTGATGAGGAGGAGGAATACCATTTTAAGGAAATCCAGTGTGTGATAAATTAGGAAAACTCTGATCCAAGCTTTGTTTTTGCTAGACGAACTGCTTTAAGCAGTGCAAAGCTGACAGAACATCATCTAAGTAATGAATTATAAAGAGACTGAATGATGTAATGCTAAATGTCAAGGATTTTTCCATTTTAAAACCAGGAAAGGATGTCACATAACGTTCATAGTGGATGTAATTCTTTAAATAATGGAGAAATGTTGGCAAGCTGGACAGGCAAGCTTGGTTCAGATATGTTGCTTTATGTAATTTAATGTGTTAAAACTGTAAAAGCTATGTTTAAATTTTGTACTGCTATTCACTCAGGGTATACATGTTTGAAATACCATTAAGATATATATTAGGCCACAAGGAGATATATGAAGCTATATTAGCATACAATATGTTCACTCACAGAAACAGAAATTGAACAAAAAAGGCAGCTTTGGGAGTGTAGCAAGTGGGGAGATGGAAGTGCTAGAGTAAAGCGAGGTGGAGAAAGGTCACTCAGGCTGCTGGCTCGGAATTACAATATGGTTGTTACCAAAGCTGGAAAAAGATCCATCAGAGAGGAAAAAGAAGGATGATCATGGAAATACAAATAATTTATGATTGTATGAAAGGTTACAGCAAAACTGGAGTGCTGCACCTGCAGATTTTTATACATTTTGTACATTTGATTTTCGTTTTTCACCAGAGTAAGGCCAGCGGAAACATAGTCAGAGACTTTTCAAATTTGAATTTATTTTGTAAAATAATAATTGTAAATTAAATTTCCATACATAGTGATCTGGATATGTGAATGTCTTCCCTGCCACTGAAGGACTTGTGGTACAGTGGCTGTGGTCCCCTGTACAGACCAGTGAAGATCATCCACACCAGTCTAGGAAAACATGGTAGTATTTATAATCACCGCTAGAGGCAGTAATTCTCTAATTTGGATATAGCATAACCTGTTGCCCACGAAGAACCACGAAGAAATATTTTGTCAGAGCATTATTATGCCCTAGTTAAACTCTTACAGGCATCACTTCATTGGCTGTGTGAGATATAATGTACTTTTGCCAAGATTAACAAACCAATACCTCATCCATTACCATAATTTTGACGCTTTCTTTCATTAAAATATTGTATATTATTGGAGGTAGTGCACAATCTGGAGGAAAGGTTTGCCTGAAAGATTTTACTGAGGGCAAAATAAAGCTTTACGTACACTAATTTCAGTGTTTTTGGCTTTTTCATTTGATGTTTGAGTGTGTACCGTGCGTTTCAGCTACTTTGCGACCGTGCTGACAGTTACTTGGCCTTAGTTGATACAAATAACATAGTTTAAAAAAAGAGATAACTGTAAAATGACGGAACAGTCCTCGTTGTTACTACGTAAACAATTAGCAGGTAAGTGCTTCTAAACGTATTGCTTGTTTTAAGGTATTTTTACTGTATATTAGCAATCACGGAGTAACAGCTGCGTTTCATTTGGCTGCTCTTCTACGTTTTTTCCCCTTCAGATAATAGTGACAGCATTTGAAAAGCGTGTGTATCATCGTGCCAGTTGTTAGCCAACATATGACTGTAAGGCTAACGTTAGCTGTTGCTCAATAACCACAGACGGTATTTCAAAATCACCAGTCAGACCATTGTTTCATGAGCATTATTTTACTCGGTGAACTTGACCTATAATAGCCAGTAATAATCGTTGAGAGTTTGTTCCCAGTCCATTGTATGAGTAATCTGAAGCACTTACACCCCATGTTGATGTGCTTTATCTGCCACAATTCAAATTTCAGTTAAAGAGTTAAATTGGACTATTTCCATATCAAATTTCAGAACTCAACAAGAACCCAGTGGAAGGATTTTCTGCAGGTCTTGTGGATGATGATGACATCTATCAATGGGAAGTGGTCGTCATCGGACCTCAGGACACGTTATTGTGAGTAGGAATATTCGCCTTTTAACTTGCATTCGCTTGTAGTTGATTTGTAACTTCACTGAAATCCCCAGTGTGAATCCTAACCACATGTTCTTTCTCATTTGCAGTGAAGGCGGTTTTTTCAAAGCTACCTTAACCTTTCCCCGTGACTATCCTTTGAGGCCCCCGAAGATGAAGTTCATCACAGAAATCTGGCATCCAAATGGCAAGAACCAACTTCCCAGACCACTGTATCTCTCATTAATTTAATCAAAGTATTAAAAATGATTCATTTTCTGATAATTGCAAAGAAAATGACCATTAAGTGTGTAAATATTGCTGTTACTTAGTGTAACTAAAACATGGTTATATTTCAGGTTTCACTTCAAATGTATTTTTGTACTGCAGTATTTTTATGAGAGCTTTAATACATGTTTTGTTTTTAGAAAGTGCTGAAAATTACTATAACAGCTATTTATAGGTTACTTTTCCATTGCAATTATGTTCATTTTAAAATTTATAAGGACAAGTTCTGTTTATCAGTATCTTAAAATTGCATGCAAGCAATCATAACAGGTACGGTTGCCATTGTAATCAAATGAAGCAGTCATTATATTAAGTGTGCAGCTACAGTTATGATTTTCAGTCTGTTTGGTTTTCAGGTGTATTTGCTTAGAATTGTACAAACTTGTGAGAAATATTTTTGTCTTTCGTTTTTGTCTTGTTTTGTTTTTTTAGTGGCAAAAAATGGCGATGTTTGCATCTCTATCCTGCATGAACCTGGCGAGGACAAGTATGGCTATGAGAGGCCTGAAGAGCGCTGGCTGCCAATCCATACAGTGGAGACTATCATGATCAGTGTTATATCCATGTTGGCAGATCCCAATGGAGACTCTCCTGCTAATGTAGATGCAGCTGTAAGTACCTTCTTTCACACATATAGATGTTCTCAAGCTGGGGTTAGTTTGTCATAGTTTTTTTTTTTAAATCAGCAATAAATATGCATAGTATCTAAACACTTCAAATAATGCCGGCCTTAGGCCTAGTGAATTTTTAATTAATTTCATGTCAGACAAATTTCCAGTGTCGAAATATAATAAATAATAAGTGTCTTGCTCCTGTTGGGTAGTGCTCCTAACATCTCAGTCGTTTGGTGTTTTAAGCTATTTTAAGTCTTTTTCTTGATGTTCTGATAAAATCAAACATGCAGACAGTGACGTGAATCTTACAAACAACCAATAGTTGAGCTCTCTCCAGTACCAAACAGCAGCATAGCAGGCACAGAACCAGTGGTAAGTATGGCAGAGACTCCGGTGACTCCATGCCTTAGAATGCAGGGTTCTGTTGGGCCGTTACAAAGGAAGAGAAACTGGTGGAATTCTGGAGTGAGCAAGAGTGTGTGTGATGTGTCATCCAATATGTATCATCACAGAGTGGAGAAAGAGAAAAGATGGATAAACCTCAGTGTCCCCTTTTAGTCAATCAGGGTCACGTTCACATTCTGTGGTGTCTTCTCTTTTTTGTGGCTGTTTTTTCCAAGCAAAACACTGTGCACACAAGTGTAGCTGTAGCCAAACGCAGAAGCACATGGGAAGTAGTCTCAACAGAAATCTAGTTGCAGTCTTGCAGATAGTGACCCTGCACGATCCCCAGTCTTTGCAAAATCAGTTATGACTAAAAACACTGACACATTCTTCAGATGTGAGAGGGTTTCAGACTTTAGGCTTTTAAAGTCTTTTCTGAGTTTTATCATAGTCGTCTAGTGTAAGGCCAGCATAAGTCAGTTATGTACCACTTGTTTGGTACTATCAGTTTAGTACCAAACAAGTGGGCTGAGTGACGCAGATCCCTGGGAGGGCAGATTGCCACCTGAGTCAGTAGTTCAAAGTTAAGTTTGAATAGAAGTCAACATGTATCACTCAGCTTTGCTTTGAACATTTTGTGCAAAATATGTGGCCATGAAGTAGGAGGAAACGATGCACAAGGAAGTTAAGGTTTACACTGAGATTGTTAATAAAAGTTTTTATATATGTTACACCCTGCAGAAAGAGTGGAGGGACGATCCTACAGTTTTTAAGAAAAAGGTTGCACGCTGTGTGCGGAGGAGTCAAGAGATGGCTTTTGACTAAGACCCCACTCCAGCCATCAACACAGTAAGTACAACCACCTGTCAGGATTTATCCTAGTGCAGTCACACAGTGAGATGTATTCTGGACATGTGAAGAAATGATTGAGATATTGTCGCTTTTTGCGGTGTGACCACATCTTGTGCTATAGGATCTTGCAATACTAAAACTTGACGATACTTCTCTTTGAGGCAAAAGCTTTCTTGCGATGTCGGTACATAAGAGAACCAGGCCGGTATGACGGAGTGTGACAGTACGTTCACATTAGTGGACGTTCACACTGTTCCGGTAAAAACACAACTCCCTGCTGAAGTGACGTTCATTACAAGATATTTAGTAAAAACATTTCAAAATGCACCTGCATTGCTTTGCATTTGGCTATTTTCAGTCAAATAAAATACATTTTTTCTGGTCATATATTTCATCATTACAGCTTTCTTAAAGGTGTTCAAATATTGTCTCATCTTGTTCTCATGAATTAATGCATCGTCTTGTGAGCTAAGTGTATCGTCACACCCCTAGTTGCTTTCAGTAAATATTCATTTTTTTTATTGCATTGTACCTGTAATTTGGAATGGAAGTGTGAAGTTGCTGTTGCTGCTCAGTTAGGTGACATCTTTTTATTGTAAAACTATGCCTTACTTTTACAATTTCAGCCAGTTAAGAACTGAACTAAGATGTACATTTTGTTTTAGGTTGGAACTGCGCAGGGGATTTAACAACTGGTTAGACCTAAGTCAGCTTAGAAGACCATGTGGCACAAGCTTATCAACGTCAAACTGTCACCCGAAAAAAAAGTTTATAAACCCATTAGTATTTAAGTACCATCAGCTGTGCATTTTTGAGCAGTGTCTTATTTCTCTATTCATTTCTGTCTTTCAGTTTTGGGAGTAGTTTATGAATATTGTTGAATGGCTGCAGCATTCTGGCTGCCAAAAGTTCCCATTTTATTTTTCACTTCTCATCAGATACACAAGAAACTGCTTAGTCATCAGCATTTCACTCACAGGAAGATACATTATATAGCCTATACTTATTTTAGTTATGTACATACTCAGACTTCTGAAGAAACTCCAGATCCAAATCCCATCTGATAAATGCACAATATCTAAAGTTTGTTTACTTATATTTACCTATTTATTTAGAGTGAGGCTATTTTTTTGAATATTGTCAACCTTGGAGACTGTTATTTTTCTTTTCAACCTGCTACACTGAGCCATCCAGTCTGTTGTTTAATCAATTATGCAATTTTATAGTATTTGAAGTCTGTGAAGAGCTAGAGGTACAGACACCGGCTTTCCTGCACATCTGAAGTATCCTGCAGAGTGCTCCTTTCCAGGAACTTGTCACCCAGCGCTGCCTTAACTTTGCCTTGGGTAAGGACTGCAATTGAAGGCGTGTTGTGACCACAGAGAAAACTCTTGTGAACAAACCAAAAAAGTATTTTTGTAATGAACATGCTACATTTTTAGCTATGTGAATATAAACCATTTGTCCTTGTCATTGCCTAGTACAGCGAAAATGCATCCACCTTTCATATGAGAGAGGTAGCATTCAGTAGTACTTCAGCCACTACCCACAAAACCTCCTGATAAAGTGACGCATTGAGGCTGAGCAGTAGTAATTTCATGTCTAGTAAGGACAGTATTTGATGAGTTAACAGGTATGCAGCAGTAGCCACTTTTGAGGACTGTTAAGAGTGTGAAAAAGAATAAAGCTTGGTGTGGAGATTGACTGTTCTGGTCCAAGTGCTTTTACCTCTCTGCTATACAACTTCATTAAGTTGTCTTCAGATCACTGAAAGACCTTTTTTCAGATTTTATTTCCTTCAGAGCTACTTTTCATAATCATTTAAAAGAAATACTTTGTAATGTGCAGTAAGAACAAAACAGTGCCATATTATTTTGCTCTGACTCCTTTATTGAATGAAGCACCAGCTCAATATGATCAACACCCAGACAACCAAAGACATATCCTTAAACTCAAAGTATAAAATCATCTTTCAGCAACACAAATGCAGTTCCTTCCCTCCCCACCCAAAGAAGCCTCCATCCAGCTCACAGGCGTAGAAGAGAAACCGAGGGTCCTGAGTTGTTCACTGTCCAGGAGCTGACAGACTCTTGTTCATGAACTGCTTCTTGACAAAGCACACCCACCACTGGAAGAAAATAAAAACCTCTGTTAAGAAAAAGTCTCTGAAGCTGTTGCAGTCAAACTACCTGTGGCAAGAATATTAAAAAAGCAACTAGGTCTCGCACAGGTCATTAGTCACAAGATACCGATCATGTTAGCGCAGATATGCTATTGGACCCTGTACTCAGCATGTGGCACAGTATATTAGCATTTAGATTGTTTAGACAGCACCCTGCATGCAACTGTTGAGGCCTGTGAAGCAGCTTTAACTAAAATTTCCCTTCAATCCCTCCCTTCTAACAAGTAAGCCTCGATTTCCATTCTGATCTGTTACACCTTAAACCACAAAAGATGCAGTTAACATTCTGAATGAAAATTACATTAACCCTGACAGTTATCACTTAAACACTGCGATCTGGATCAAGCTGCTGTGACCAGTGCACCCCACTTGAAACCAGATCAGAAATCGCAATTGGCATTTGTAATGTACATATAAAGCTGTAATTGTGTTATTTTCAAGAGGTTGAACTCACCTTGCTGGGTTTGTCTGTCTGGGGGTCAAACACACGCTCACATAGCCTCAAACCAGTCTCCTGGCGAATCTGCTGCAGGTACGCCCTCATAGTCTCTGGAAAAGCATCATCAACACCATTATATAATAAATGGCGCATCATACAATATCTTTCATTGCTGCCACTTCAAAACAGTGAAAGGGTCCTTAGCCACTGCTTAAATTGTTCACCTCCCACCTTTAATAACCCCAGAAAAAATAAAAAGAGCCCAGAAAATACAGAAGCCGAAGGACACCCAACAAGCATGAAACAGCACCTCTAGCCTCAGATCCTTAAAGCTCATGGGACCTTAGTCAGCACTGCTATTATTTCAGGCTGGGAATCAGCAGAAAAAGAAGAAGGGTACAAGAAAACCAGCACTTCATGTGAGTACAGTGTAGTGAAACAGCATTAACAGCCCTCAGCAATTCACTGCTAACAATCAGGACAAATGTCCAATTCAGCAAGACTCGTGCATTTTTGTTTTTTCTTCCTCATTAGCCCAATACTGTAGGTATTAAAATTAGTATACGATGCTGGGTTTTACCTTCTTCCTGCTTGTTTGCAGGTTTTGCATACATAGCATTAAGAGGGAAGCCAGGCTCTCCGGGAATAGGGAAATTTGTGATGCCCAGAGTGTACATCTCTTTCTCTCCCTGGCTCTTGGAGCTGCACTGTAAAGAGCCATACATACGCCAATGTAAAGGATCCTTACATGTTGGAAAAACAATTCACATTCTACATATAATTTAATAACTCCCTCAAAAACATATGGTCAGCCATATGCAACTTACCTTCTGTAGCCTCTTCAAGCATTCGGAAATGTAGAGTGTGACATAGATCAGCGTCCTGTCTGCCTCGTTCTGAAAGAAACGTACAAAACTGGCTGAAATACCTAGAATTAGACTGAAAACTGTGTATTCTTTCTAAAACAAATGTCAGTAGTACAGTTCCAGCCAGGTCTGAACAGTATAGGACTGCATCATATGAATCCTGAGCAAATAAACAGTACTGAGGGGAACTAGAACAAACAAGTTGGGACGTGTTGAAGAATCAAGTACACATCTGCTCCAAGGCACAGAGATGGGAAGGTACATACTTGTCCCTCACCTAAACATCTTAAAAATTCTACACTTCTTTTTCTATTTTTGCTAGGATTTGGTTCAGTCAAATGTCTACAGGCATTTTCTTTAGACTATTTGGTCACCTTAAAGAAAGGATAAATGGAAGCAGCAAATTTCTTACCTTGATTTCATAATTCTTAAAGAAAACATTGGCCTTGAAGTAATAAAGTGCCTCATCAATGACATCTGAATCTATGCCTGAAATTGCAAAAAAAAAAAAAAAAAAAAAGTGTCACTAAATACAAGGGTCTCAAATGAACACATATGATGTATTCAAGAATATACTAGATGTAAAACGTTATAGGTGTTTATCAGTACAGAGAGCCATTTCCTGTTTGGGCTGCCACATATGCAAACACCTTTGTTTTTGATTTGTGATATAAAGGCTACTGAGAAACTGCCCCAAGTGATGCTGAATCAAATCTTCTAGTCTGTAAATTGCCAAATGTTTAGATGACACACACACACACACATACAGATGCTAATCTGACACGTTTTCTCCTGCAGACAGAAGCTGGGAACTGAGTTTCAGACCAGATGCATGAAGAAGTTAAACTTCACTCTTCAGGCCATATATGGAAATGAAGCTGATTCGTTAATCAGGAACTTGGCATATGTTATGAACTCAGGAGAAAACTGGCATGTGCAAGTGAATATGCCACTGAAAGTTAAAAACAGTTCGTGTGTTTCTGTGATCAAAATGTGTTGGCTCCACTTTGGGGGCAATTTAAATGACCGAGAAGACTTACCGTCTCCTCTGGCTGGTCCCTTGAACTGGGTTTTGAGAGGCAGCAAAGCCATATTCCCCACCATTCTGGTGTCGGAAACCATCAGGTTTGAATGATACGCCTAAAAACAAGCAAAAAACAAGTTGCCTATTCACTCATTTATCATCTATAATGTACATTTCTGCCAGACATCATCATAGACACCTCTGCTAATAGACACCTCTGTTGTAATGTTAGCACCCATGCTATTACCTTACCAAACAATATCACTTTATAGGCACTAAAATACGAAGCATTTACAACTATTAAGCAACAACAGTGAACTTATTTCTGACATAGCCACCATCGCTTAGCTGCCATCAGATGCTAACGTGGCTAGCCAACTATGCTAACGAGACTCGTTCAGCACAGCCAACGTTAACCCGGAGGCCCTTGTGTCATCCAGTGGAGTTTATATGGTTTTTGCTCTAAACCGCACAATAAACGCATATGCTTGCCGACAACCATGTACTATTTACTCACCGGCATATTGAATGATGAATATCAGTCCAACTGCTCAGCAAGAGGAAAATACCAACACGAAAAGACGCTACTTCCGCTTGTTCCACCCTTGTTTTACAGGAAGTGACTACATGTCATGTAGCGTAGCATCCACATGAGGGCGCTAACACATCGCTTTTCTTCACCCATCTAAGCAAGTTATGTATTTTGTATATTATTTTATTTAAAAATATAGCATTGATAAAGGTACTCTGCAAACTTCAAAACTGGCATGAATGAGCTGAAATCACAAAGTTCTTGAGTCATTAAAACTGCTTAGAAAAACAAAAACGTAACATAAGCCTACATGACAAGATAGTCATGAGTCAGTCTTTTGCACACAAGTAACATTGTCACTCTCCACTTGAACTTGATTTAATGTATCTTCGTTCTTCATCAGCCTCAAATGTTTTTCCTCCTACTCCCACACAAATGTTCATGACTCCTCAGCTGTCCACTTTGCTTTGAAAAATCTCATCATAATTTACATTAGCAGGGTCTTCATCAGCCTCCTGTAGAAAAGGAAAGCAATGGAAAACAGCAAATTAATTAATCATTAAAATATATATATATATATAACATCATATTAAATTATACTTTCTAGTGTTTTACTTTAGTTCATTTGTTCACCTTTGGCTCCTTGAACTCCAGGTCTTCTCCATACTGTATAGAGAAGTCAATATGTTGCAGTACTATATTGATACATTCCTCATCAGTGCGGTCAAAAGGCAGGAATCTCACCATACTGTAATCATCGATCTGGACACACAGATGATCTTATTACAAAATTCAGATCCAAAACTGAAAGCAGTATCAAATCAAGGACTTCACTTACCAGACCACAGATGGCTTTAGTCAGCTTCTTGAACTTGGCGCTTCTGATGGTGTTCGAGTTATCTTCCATCATTGAGTACATGTCTGGATCCAGGTACCTATAGAAGAAGAGAACAAAAACACAATGTGTATTGTATCAAGAGGCAATTATTGTGTGATTTACAATCTTTTTGAGAATTAATAAAATGACTTATTTTATTAGGTTCCAAAAAACACCATGACCAAGATTAATCAAGAACTTTTAAATAAGAGAATTTCAAACACTACAGTTAAAATTTGAAAGATAACTTTGTCACACTAACCTTTATCACTATAAAACCTTCCTGTACTTGTGTTTTAATACCAACATTAAGGGGATTCATTGCTGCAGGTTTTATGCAAACTGAACACACATTACATTGTTGTACTGCACTCACATCAAACTTACTTTTCAATTTCCTTCTTGGCTTTGGGACTGAGCAGGTCCATTTTTGTCATAATGTTTACTTGAGGAATCTCTAATGACACCATGGCACTCAGGGCAGCCATGACTCCTGAAATGAACTGCAGTTAAAGAACAAGGAGTGCGAGACTTCTGGTTTACTGCCATTACTACATTAACTGCAATTTATTGCAAAAATTTGGTTTGTTTAAATTAAAAAGGAAAATGGTTGTTACCTTAAAAGACTCCACCATAAACTGTGAGTCTACCAGGAAGACCCCGCAGACCCGAAACTCCCACTGCTGGAGCTGCTCCACAAGCTGTCTCATTACAGGGAGGTGTGTATAAAGTTCAATCTGACCTGGAAAAGAGGCTACTTGTCAAAACTGCACAGCAGTGTGTCTTAACAGAATAGCTTCATCAAATCTCTCCCCTTTACCTGCTGGCATACTCAACACCTCAGCACAAAGAGAAATGGGCAAACTCTCAGCCAGCTGTGCACTGGCTTCATTATGCATCAGCTGGGATATTTACCTGGGCAGTCAAATAATATGTAGTCATCTTCTACATGACCCAGGCTTTCTTCTAACCAGTCAAAGTTGTTAGCAAAGTACTCCATGCAGAAGACCAGGCCTCCATTAGGGCCGAATCTGAGAGAATCATCCTCCATCACATCATCAACCTGGATGAGCTCCCGAATGTCTTAGGAAACAGATACAACAGGTTATTATGTGGATTTACATAGATCAAAAGAATACAAATATGTTAAAGCATAATACCAACTAACAAATATGAACATACAATTCAAAACCTTTGATTTTATCTCTCTCTCCCCTGTAAATGTGTACAGAAGGGCTTCCTGATATAATATATCTTATATAGGGTATTGTTTTGTGCTGTTTTAGTATAGGTGAGATTATTATTACAATGCCTGTGATCACACTAAACTGTCCAAGTACAGGGTGTTGGGTGAATTGACTCATCTACCTACCCACCTAGTGCTTCAGAGTGTTTAAACTAGGCCTAAAACAGCATCTAAACACAATCTAAACATGGCATAAATTATTTCAATGTATTATTTTTACCTTAACCCAGTTACATCCTTATTTGGTAGCCCATTGTTATCGGTTATATACAGCTAAGCTCTAGGCTTTCTAATTAAATGAGAGTATCTTTGTGAAGTACCGGTAAACACATTGTGTATTCACCTGCCATGACAGGGTAGTCAAAGTGCTCAGCTGCTGGGTCCAGATTGACCACCTGAACTGAGCGGTTTATGGACTCTGAATGCTGGATTATTGTGGAGCAATAGGTACTCTGAAATAGGGAGACAACTTCCAACAATAAATGAAAACACAGCAGATATAACTTGGACTTGGTCTAACAGTTATGTGGAAGACAAGGACGCCTCATGCCTTAGCACAGCGCTTTAGCCAAATAGCATAACAAGGTATTCTTGGTAATGAACTGAACGACTGATAACGCACCTTACCGCTACCCGCCGGGCCAATCACTAGCTGTGCATAACGAGGCATTTTGTCTCTGAAAAGGATATGGTTGAGATATTTCCCTTTATTCACCAGCTGTAACAAACTGTATCAATTTAATTTACTGATGTCGTAGTTCTACTTCTTCGTGTTAAAATGGACGTTCACAACCGTCGTAAGCGCCACTGCTGCCACCTACTGATTACAGTGTGAAACAGAGAAGTAGTAATAGTAGTAGAGGAGGAGGAGGAGGAGGATTCATTGGTGTTTCAGGGCATGCTGCGAAAGCCTTAACGGTAACTTTCATTGTTTTGTTTATAGCCTGTTTATACAGCTTATTTTGCTTTGCTTGCACTGTTTGTTGCTGTTAATGGTGTCTATTTTGTTATTACTAGCCTTATGTTGGTTTACTGTTTACTTGCCCCTTGCATGGGGATATGTACATGCACATAGAGAGCCGATTGTACCAGAGTCAAGTTCCTCGTGTGTCCGACACACCAATTCCGATGAAGCCCGTTCTGATGAAGGTGAGAGGTGAAACGTCTTCTACCAAAAACTACGTCCAGATGATTTCTTCTACATTTTTTCAGCATACTACGACCTGACTGACTATGACTGAGAATTTGCACGGACATTCAAATAGTAGGGATATATGTGAGTGGGGGTGGAGGGGGACTAGAATGTGGCCAAGGTTGCAGCTGTATTTTTGAAAAACTGTTGCAGGTTATTGTAAAGCTTCAGACTGGGTTAACCAAATGTGGGAGTTCTAGGACAGTTCAGGAAGATGCCCCTCTTGGTAGGATGCCCACCCACATGTAACTCCACCTAAAGCCACAAAATATCGGCGAGGCTAATGTTTTTGGTTGTCTGTTTGCCCGAACACCCAGATTTTAAAGGTTCATTTTGCCAGTTTCTGTTGCTGAATTCTGCACAACAAAAGATTTTGAGGTAACTTTTGAAGGGAAAAATACATCACTAATACAGTGAGGAGATTCATGGGCAGAGCAGAGTATTTGTTTGGAACAAAATATAAAATGGGCTTGTCTGATATTTAATTATATGTTATTAGAATACCTCTTTAACTGGGTTTGTTTATGGATGACCGTGCTGTACATACTGATTTCAAATTCAAACTACCAATCTCTGACCAGTAGGGGGCAGTAATATACCTAGAAACGGTTAAATCGAATCTGATCCCTGAAGAAGGCGAAAAGCGTGAAGAGGAGGAAGCAACAAACAGAAACAGATGCACCTCAAGATCAAGCAACCATGGAATTACTTGCTTATAATGTGGTAATTTTACTGAGACATTAAAAAATGTGTTGTCGCTGGAAAGAAAATGTCTCGTGGGAGTGAGTGGAATTAACAAGTTAAACCTAGAAAAAGGTGGACTTCTTATTGATAGGTGAGGTAATAGCTGTTTGTCACCATAGATATATAGCCTAATTTACACATATCTACATGTATGGTCTGTCACTGCAGTGGCTTGGGATGGTGTTGGTAAGTTATATTATCTCCATCGTAACTCTTTTGTTATACTGTGGCTCTTTGGCTGCTAAGCGCAGCCATATATTCATGAGCCAAACCCAAGACTTTCTTGGTTAACTACAACTAGGCAAAGGGGTAACGGTTAGCTAAGTCATGATTCACGAGCGACAATGGCCCGGCTGAAGTAGGATTTAGAAGACCAGCCATTTATCTTTTATTGGTGTTTAATAGGTGTAGTTAATGTCTAGTGGCGGAGGAGCTGTCAACGTCAGCAGTATTCATAAATGACTTAAGTCAACTAACGTTACAGCGCTTACGTTACTATCAAGTCCAGGCTAGTCTACGCTAACCTCAGCTAGCAGTGGAGAGCACCTAAATTAACTTAATCTTAAATGTATGACAGACTGTGCTAATTGATGTCAGGAAAGTAAACAACGACGACTCTCTAGATATTTTGTGATATTTTAAATAACGTTACACTGGTCGATAAGTACTTTCGGGAAATTCGACTAGCTAACGTTAATATGAATCCAGGTACGTCCAGCATTGCTGGCCAACCTTATTATGGTACCGTTAAGGCTAGATATGCTAAGGGTAACGTTGAGATCTTTGATTCACGCCACGCTAAAACGCCATTTAATCTGCTGAAACAGTTTTAATATAACGTTACTAATTTGAATTCATTCATTGTGAAGCGCAGTGGAAAGCAATACGTAGTTCAGAGAAAAATCTCAATGTTTAAACCAAAAGTATTTGGTAGCTGTCGTTCTGGGTCCTTAAGGGCATGTGCCAATATTTATACTATAGTGATTAATTTAATTTCATTCATTATCATGGTGTAGTTTATTATTATACATGTATTTATTTATTTTTACCCTGTTTATAGGATAAGGCACAAAACAGTGTCCAGTGAAATATTAACCTCTTTATGTCTTTAGTTTTCTAGTGTTGTAGGCTATGAGTGTGGGTGATGGGGGACAGCCAGTGTGGGGACTTGGACTACCTGGTCAAAGATGAGGACACCCTCATTGAAGGTGTCAGCAACCAAGTCTTATTTGTTGTGGCCCTCAGTGTCACCTTCCTTGCAGGCCTCCTCACTTTGCTTTGCAGGTAAGCAGCAAATTCAGACTAATATTTCAGCATTCCAAATGTTTTAATAAATGACTTATTTGGTTATAAAATTGTCATGTCAGTTTACTTAGTCACAAACTCAGGACTAAAGGATTTTTAGTGTTGCTACACATTTTACTGTTTCATCTGAGGAATAGCTTTGCCATGTTATCTGCTTTTTGACCATTGCAGACAAGAGCAGCAGAACATTCATCCTGAGAATCAGGAGCACGTCCGAGCAGTTCGTCAACAACTCCAGACGGAGCAGGTACAAAGGCAAATACATCTCTATCCTTTGCAGCCAAATGTGGTTGACAAAGATAGCATCCAAGCAAAATTACAGAAGATTTCTATGAGACTTATTTTTTGGAGAATGAATTAATAAAGTGACAGTTATATAATTATTGTTATTGTTTGCATAATTCAAACTTAAGAATAGTATAGATTCAGTGCAGTGGAGGAGTTACTTTATTTAACTTGGATGGACATCCCTTTCATATCCCAGCTGAACTAAATGTGATATTACATTTGTATCGTATAATAAGAAAACATGCTTTGAAATAACATTTATTTCTGTATAACTATGGTTAGTTTTGGAAAGTAGTAGAAAACTGGGAGAAGTAGGTGGAAAAGTATACATTGCAAAATGATCACGATAAAGGGGCTTTGCTTCTGAAACCTAACCATGAACAAATATTACACATTTAAATATAAAAGTTTGACCCAATATATTTTGTAAGTAGAGAACAGTTTAGTGAATTTTAAACTATTTTATGATTGCTCATTGATTAAACTTTCACATTTTTTTTTTTCTTTTCCCAATTCTCATGTATTTGATTTATTTATTTTTTTGTCAGGATGAAAATACACAGGCGGAGGCCAGGCAACCGTATTACACAGACATGTCTTGTCCTGTGTGTTTACAACAGGCTGTTCTGCCTGTGGAAACTAATTGTGGGCACCTTTTTTGTGGTAAGATGATTGTACAGATCCTAATAATATTCACCGTGCATAATGAAACAGACAGAGTAATTGAAGGTGCTTGTTAGTGTTGGAGCTGTATTTACCCTTTCCTTTAGGGAGTTGATAGAGTTTGAATTATTTGATATAATTTGCTGGTATAAGATGACATAGCTTAGGTTTACATAATAAGCATAATAGACAAATGTAGAATTCAGATAAAAAAAGTATTGGGGGTAATCAATGAATAATTTCCTCATGTGAGAAACCACCCTCATATTGCACTCTCTAAGTCTTGCTGCTGTCATTTTGCCAGTGCGACCCCCTGTCAATCTCAGAATACAATGCCATGTTTACTCCCTGACGTCACTGTGAAATAGGGCAGTTGATGACTAGTGTTGTGTTTGTCTTACAAGATATATTTGTAGTTTTGGGAGGGTGTACCTTATGGCTTATTTTTTTGTATTTTATTTGTGCTGTCTTGTTCCTACATAGGCTCCTGCATTATAGCCTACTGGAGGTATGGCACCTGGCTGGGTGCTATTAACTGCCCTATCTGCAGGCAAATGGTAAGACGGGTAGTAAATGTTGGATGTACAATAGTTATCTAAGCTCAAGCTTCAAATGTTTGTCTAAAATAACTTTCCTTTTCAATCTAATTGTTGTAAATTAGTTGCTGTCAAGATCAGAAAGAGAGGATGAGTGAACTGTGTGTCAGTAACAGTGGTGGTAGTAGACCTCATCCCCTCTCAGATGGCTCCTGATCCTCTTTCACCTGTTTAGTCCAACCTTGATGTCTGTTTTCATCCCTGGCTCCAGTGTGTGTCATCATTTAAGTGTTTTTCTTAATGCAGCTTTAGGCCCTACGAGTGCTTTTTAGCGTCAATGTTGTCTTTTTTTTCCCCCCTTGTGCAGGTAACATTGCTCTTCCCACTTTTTCATGAACATGCTACTCCTCAGAGGGTCCAGGATGGTGAAGCAGAACCTCAGCTTATATTAAGGGACATTAATGATTACAACCGCAGGTTCTCGGGCCAGCCAAGATCTGTGAGTGTACAAATGCATGGTTAGGCTACAGTGGACACAAGTTGTATGTTAAAAGCAGTACACTGAATTTTTAAAAACCTTCCCTATGAAGTGTGTATAATCTGTAGCACTGCTGGTACAAGCTAGAAGTATGCAAATGAGATACTAACCTGTGTAGTGCATTATAATTCACTGGAATATATTTAGAATAGAATTTCTCACATTATTTTCTCTCCTCTGTCTCCTTAGTATATGGACAGGCTGCGAGATGTGCCAACTCTGCTTCGCCATGCCTTTAGGGAGATGTTTTCTGTGGGTGGCCTCTTCTGGATGTTCAGGATTCGAATTCTTCTCTGCCTAATTGGTGCAATCACCTATCTGGCCTCACCACTTGACATCCTCCCTGAGGCACTTTTCGGTCTCCTGGGATTCATGGACGATTTCTTTGTAATCCTGCTTCTCTTTGTGTACATTTCTATCATGTACAGAGAGGTGGTCACGCAGAGACTAAATGGCTAGGTGATCACCCATAAAAGAGCCTTGGCTTGTGCATACCAGGCTTGTTTTATTACTAGAGAGGGTTTGGCTAAAGATTGGTGTTGACTCTGTATATAGACTTCACCGTTAATAGTTCATAGGTGAAATCAGATCAAGGCCAGGAGCAACACAACATAAGGGGGGCTGGTTAGGTGTTGGGGTGTGATGTTGTAATGATGTGAAAATCTGCTTTGAATCAGACACTGCAGTAAGCTAGGGACACCTCTTTTTAAATGACTAGCACTGCTGCTAGCCAATTCGTCAACAGCATTGCCAAAAGCAGTCATTTGGGTAATATGCATATCATCATATTGGAGACAGTATTGTATTATAATGTGATGTTGAATGTTCTGTTTCAGTTACATGCATATAAGGTTGTCTGCTGCATCCAGGTTGTCATTGCCAGCTATTAGACTGTTTGGTTGATTACATTGATGTTGCACTTAATTAATTAACCGTTGACTATGCATGTTCATAATGACTTGAAAAAACACAGCAATTCATGCTTGTGTGAAAAATCTCTGAATCATTTTACCTGCAATTGTGTGAAAAATCTCATTTTACCTGCAATAGTTTGTGTGAAAAATCTCTGAATCATTTTACCTGCAATAGTTTCTGCATGGATCCATGTGAAGTGACAATACACAAGACAACCTGTGTGATGCATAATGACTTCTCAGGTGGCAAATTTTTATTCAAGCAATCAAAAAGTAATCCCTTGATTATGAAAAAAGAAGCCAAACTGAAAGAATCAAAGTGATTATAGGTCCTGTTGAATGTAAGCATAACTAAGAATTTGTGAATGTTAACATCTCAAAATTTTCCTTACCACTTAAAGATAATTAAGAGTTTGGATATTTGTCTTCTGTACATACGTAAATATTTGGCAAAGGAAATGGCCGTTTGGCAAAGTAACAAAGGACTAAGTGGGTCTAAAATGAAAGGGTGTGATCTCGGACTGTCAGTCATCAGTTACAAATATCTGTTAAGAACCTATGTTGGTGCACAGTAAAGAAGCATTTCTTTTTCTTAACCTTTTTGACTTGTGACGCAGTTCAGCTGAAGGGAGAGATATCCTTTTCAAGATTATTTGAATTTTTTGCTATATGACTATTTGCATGACCTTCAAGCTGAAAATGACTCCTAGCTGAAACTGTATCCAGGCCATTTGCTATTTTTGGGGCTCTGTTTACTGAACGAGCATCAGTTTTCATGTTCATAAGTGGTTCATGGGACAGATCAACAGTCAAATGTACAATTCATTCAGTGTATCTGACAGCACCAGACAACTTGCAAAGACAATCATTTCCCTCGTGGAGTGTCTCATTTGAAGGCGTGTAACATTCTAAGCTGTATCATACCTTCTTAGTACGCTTGCTGATTAGCATCTCCACTAGTTTGTCTTTTGTTTTTGATATCTAAACTAAAGCAGAGGAGAGCAGCATGCTTTGTCAATGCTCCATCTGTTCTACAACTGAGAACTGGTTAGGTGAGAGGCCCACCCTGGTGGTCAAATACTGTGGCTGCTGGAAGAGTTAGTGCTTTGGTACTATCTGCATAGGAATTTCCAGAATATTATCTCTACAATTTGAAAAATTGTGTTTATGCCATACTTCAAGTATACATCAATATACATTTTGAAAATGTAATATGAGTCCTGGATTCGACTTTGGCTGCTCATACAAATGCAGTACATGAGGCAGCTATCCATATAACAGACTGCTTCCGTTTTGGCTGCAAGGCAAGAAAGTTTAGAGTTAATTTATTAGCTATTTGTGATTACTATTGCATGTTGTGAGTATGACCATCATCTAGTCTGAGCACTGCCAGTTCCATTGTTATAAGACTGGGCTGAAGGAGGTATTCACAATGTTCCCAGCTTTCTTTGTTTTGTGACTAATATGTAAAGTGCTCTATACCTGTGACCTTTGTCACCAGTTGCATGTCTACAAATTGAGACCACCAAAAGACCCCCCCCCCA